CTCTATTTTTCTTCTTTTTTTTTCACCCCCTCTTTATCGCCTCTCCCTTTCTCATTTGCTTTTCTTCTTTGTCTTTCTGTTCTGTTCTCTACTTTTTTCTCTTTCTGTCTTTATCCTACGCGCGTCTTTTTTCTCCTCTTTCTTCTCTTCTCTTTCATCCCCTATTTAATCTCCTCTTTTTTTCTTCTCACTCTTCCTGTCTCTTCTCTCTCTCTCTCTGTCTTCTCCTTTCTCTCCTGTCCTTCCTTCCCTTTCCCATCTCTCTCTCTACCAGCCCCCCCTCTCTCCCATCCAACCCCTCTCCCTTCCTTCCTGCCCTCCTCCCTTCTCTCTCTCTCCCCTCCCTCCCTCCCCTTCCCTTCCCTTCCCTTCCCTCTCTCTCTACCACACCCTCCTCCCTTTTCCCTTCCCCCTTCCCTTCCCTTCCCTTCCCTCCTCCCTTCCCTCCTCCCTTCCTCCCTCCCTCCCTCCTCCCTCCCTCCCTCCCTCCCTCCCTCCCTCCCTCCCTCCCTCCCTCCCTCTCTCCCTCCTTCCCTCCTCCCTCCCTCCCTCCCTCCTCCCTCCCTCCCTCCCTCCCTCCCTCCCTGGCACCTCCGGAGGGAAAAAGGAGAAAGACGCCGGTCTCTTCGCCCTGGTGACAAATGGTGCCAATTTTGTCGTAATGTCCTCAGTATCGATTTCGTTGGCCGAGGGAGGGAAGGGAGGGAGGGAGGGAGGGAGGAAGGGAGGGAAGGGATAGGGAGGGAGAGGAAGGGAGGGATGGGAGGGAGGGAGGAAGGGAGGGAGGGAGGGAGGGAGGGAGGAGGGAGGGAGGGAGGGAGGGAGGGAGGGAGGGAGGAGGGAGGGTAGGAAGTAAGGGAGGAGGGAGGGAGGGAGGATAGGAGGAGGGAGGGAGGGATGGGAGGGAGGGAAGGGAGGAAATAGGGAGGAGGGAAGAGAAGAAGGAAGGGAGGGAAGAAATAGGGAGGAGGGATGGGAGGTAGGAGGGGGTGGGGGGAGGGAGGGATGGGAGGAGGAAGGGAAGGTAGGAGAGGGAGGGAGAAGGAAAAGGAGGGAGGATAGGAGAGAAGAGGGAGGGAAGAAATAGGGAGGAGGGATGGGGGAAAAATGGAGGGAATAGGGAGGAAGAAAGAGGGAAGGGGAGGAGGGATGGGGATGTGGAGGTATGGGAGGGGATGGAGGGAAAAGAAGGAAGATGGGGGGAGAAGGAAATGGTGGAAATAGAAGAAAGGACGGATAGGTAAGGAAGGGAATGGGAAAAGTGGAGAGGAGAGGAAAGGACAAGGAGGATGGTGGGATAGGGAGAATCCTAAAAAGATTAGGAAAGAATAACAGAAGAAGAAACAGAAAAAAAATAAAAAATAGAGGAACAGAAAGAGAAGAAACAAAAAAAAAATCATGATAACAAAAATAAGAAAGCGAAGAAAAAGAAAGAAAACAGAAACTAAACAGAAAAACAAAACCCAAAAAAAAAAAAAAAAAGGAAAAAAAAAAAAAAAAAAACGCCCCTATGAATACAGACAAGGGCAGACGATAAAGGATCTCGAAGGAGGCGCAGAAGGACCAAGTCCACGACAATATTAAGACGTTCCTGAGGCCAGAAGACGCGCAGAGATGTCTTGTTAGGGCGTGTGGTGTCGATGGGCGTGGGGTGGGGGGGGTGGGTTGTTGTTTTATTTGTTTGTATTTTACGTTTTTTTTTTTCTTTCCCTTCGTAGGTAATCCAGTTTTTTTTTTATTCTTTTGTTAATTTTGTTTTTTCTTGGTCTTTTATCTGTATTCTGTATTCCTTCTGTCTCTGTCTGGTTCTTTCTGGTCTCTCTCTCTCTCCTTCTCTCTCTCTTCTCTCTCTCTCTCTCTCTCTCTCTCTCTCTCTCTCTCTCTCTCTCTTCTCCTCTCTCTCTCTCTCTCTCCCTTCCCTCCCTCCCTCCCTCCCTCCCTCCCTCCTCCTCTCCCTCCCTCCCTCTCCCTCTCCCTCTCCCCTCTCCTCTCCCCTCTCTCTCTCCTCCCCTCCTCCCTCTCCCTCCTCCCTCCCTCCCTCCCTCCCTCTCTCTCTCTCTCCACGTACTTTATTACTTACCTTTTCCTCCCTCCCTCCCTTCCCTCTCCCTCCCCTCATCATTACAGCATCGCCTCCCTCATTGCTCTTATAAACTTGTGTCATTCGATTCGCTCTAAATAGATTCAAACACCTTGATATGCCATCGAGCACCCCCCTCTCTCCCCTCCCCTCCCGTTTCTCCTCTTCCCCCTCCCCTCTCTCTTCTCCCCCTCTTCCCTCTCTCTCTCCCACTTCTCTCCTCCTCCCACTTCTCTCTCTCCTCTCCCACTTCTCTCTCTCCCTTCCCCTCCTCTCCCACTCCTCTCCCTTCCCCCTCCCGTTTCCGCTCTTCCCCCTACCCTCTCTCCCCTCCCTCTTCTCTCTCCTCCTCTCTCTCCCCTCCCCTCTTCTCCCTACCTCTCCCACTCCTCTCCTTCCCCTCTCCCACTCCTCTCTCTCCCCTCTTCCCCCTACCCACCCCCACTCCTCTCTCTCCCCTCTCCCACTCCTCTCTCTTCCCCGTGCCCTCTCCCACTCCCCTCTCTCCCCTCCCCCTCTCCCCTCTTTCCCCTCTCCCCTCATTCCGCCGTTACACGCTCTCGCTCTCTTATATGCGACGAGCGTGTATTCAAAGTCTGCAACTCAATTTGAATCATAGAAATCATTTGCATAATTTCGCTTCTCCCCCTCCCCCCTCCCCCTCCCCCCTCAAAAAAAAGAAGAAAAAAAAAGTTCGGTATTTCGTTCCCATCCCTTCCTTATTGTTGTTATTATTATTGTTTTGTTATTATTATTATTATTATTATTGTTATTATTTTTATTTACTGTTATCATTATTATCATTATTATTGTTATGATTATTTTATATCATTATTATCAATATCATTATTACCTTTATCATTATCATTATCACCTTTATCATAATCATCACGCCCATTAGTCTCTTTCGACGCGAAACTCTTCCAAACAATTAAATGAAGTCAAAGAGAGAAAATGCACTTTTATTCGCTCGCGCAAAACGCCACGGCAAACAGGCGGCGCAAAATTTTCTACGATGTTGCCAATTAAATTCCAGCAAAACATGTATGAATTTCATTTCCGACTTAGTTGCAAGTTGCAAGCCCGAACGGCGGAACGGGTGGTAATGAAACGCTGTTGAGAGAGTGGCCAAAGCGGTGTGTGTTGGGGGCTCCCTTGTTTGTGCTTGAGAGGGAGAGGAGAGGGAGAGGGAGGGAAAGAGGGGAAGGAGGGAGGGAGAGGGAGAGGGAGAGGAGAGGAGAGGAGAGGGAGAGGGAGAGGGAGAGGGAGGGAGGGAGGGAGGGAGGGGAGAAGGGAGAGGGAGAGGAGGAGAGGAGAGGGAGAGGGGAAGGAGGGAGGAGAGAGAGGAGGAAGGATGTACACTTTTTTATGAGGGATGGAAGAAGTGGAGTGGATAGGAGAGGGAGAAGGGAGAGGAGAGGGTGAGTGGATTGGGAAGGAGTCAGGGAGAGGGGATAAGAGAGGAGAGAAGGAAAGAGGGGAAGAGGGGAGGAAGTTGGGAGAGGGAGAAGAGAAAGGAAAGAGAATGGGAAAGAGAGAGAGGAGAGGAAAAGGAGAGAAACGGAGTAAGGAAAGGAGCAGAGGAAGATGAGAGTGAGAAGAACTGAGGGGAAAAGAAGAGGCAGCAGCAAGAGAGGGGCTTGAGGAGAGGAGCGAGAGGAAAGGAGAGGGGAAGGGAAGAGGGGAAGTCAGCAGAGGTGTATTAAGGGATTAGATAAGTGAGGGTCCTTTTCCGGGGGAAATATAGAAAAACACGAAGACATGGACAAAGAGAGGGAGAGGGAGAAGAGGAAGAGAGAATCAGATGATGTAGATAGAGAAAGAGGAGGTAGGATATGGAGAAGAGCGAGAGAGAGAGAGAGAGAGAGAGAGAGAGAGAGAGAGAGGAGAGCGAGAGAGAGCGAGAGAGAGGCGAGAGGAGAAAGAGAGAGAGAGAGAGAAAGAGAGAGAGGAGAGAAGAAGAGAAGAGAGAAGAGAAATGAGAGAAAAGAGAGAGAATGAGTGAGAACGAGAGAGAGAGAAGAGAACGAGAGAATGAGTAGGGCTTCACCCTCCTCCCTTCCTCCCTCCCTCCCAGTGGTCATCCCTCTCCTTGAGTTGACAGACGCTCCAGAATATCATGCACAACCCTTTCCCGGCTGCATGACACTTCCCCTGCATGTCGACCGCGCTTGGGATTTCATGAGGGAGGGGGGGAGAGGGAGGAGGAGGGGGGGAGGAGGGGGAGGAGGGGGATGTCGTTAGGGTGCAGGACGAGGGCCCGAGGGACCGGAGGAGGCGTGGCCGACGTCGGTTGGTCATGGAGAACCGTTTCATCGGGGGGAGTTAAATACGTCATGCCGGGGCAGGCACAGGCGCTGTCATGCGGGGGGGGGGGAGCGTCCCTTCGGAGTGGGGTGCAGGGCGAGGTCGGTTCATCGAGATCTTGGGGGGTGGGGGGTCATGCAGAGAGGGAGGGAGGGGGGGTGGGGAAGAGAGGGAGGGAGGGAGGTGGGTGTGGGGGTCATGCAGAAGAGGGAGGGAGGGGGTGGGGGTTCGTGCAAGAGGGAGGGATGGGGTGAGAGGGGGAGGGTGGGGTGCATGCAGAGAGGGAGGGGGTGGGGGTCATGCAGAGAGGGAGGGAGGGGGTGGGGTCATGGGGGTGGGGCTGTGCATGAAGACCTGGGACACGCGAGGAGAGAAGCGATTAGCCAAACGCAAACTTGTGGGAGAAGATGATTCTTTTATCCTCCTTGTTAGTGGATTATTTTTCTTTTTTTTTCATTATTCATCTCATGAAGAATTTGATTAATTGATTCGTCTGATGATCCTTGGAAACTGACTCACGACGCGTGCCTTCCCCTCCAGGTGCAGCTTTGGCGTTTGTTTTATATATTACATGTACGAAATCCCTTTCTCACAGCCCATTTCTTCCCTCCAGGTGCAGCTGACGATCCGCACGCTGCCGGAGCTGCCCGCCGGCGCCAAGTACCAGTGCGTGTGGGGGTCGGCGCCGCCCGCGGACGCCCTGGTCACGGCCACGGGCCTGACCTGCATGACGCCCGCGCGCGCGTTCCGGCCGCCCATCCCGCCGCACCACGACCACGTGCTGGTGCCGCTGGCCGTGCGCTCCAGCGAGACCAACAAGGACTTCGTGTCGCGCAACTTCGCCTTCTACGACTGCAGCCGCCACAACACCTGCGGCAGCTGCGTCAGGAGCGACTGGGCCTGCAACTGGTGCGTCTACGAGAACACGTGCACGCACAACGCCTCGTCGTGCAGGAGGACCGTCATCTCCGGCGAGAACGTAAGTTGGAGGCGGGTCTTGTTACGCTTGATGGTCCTCGAGTCTTGATTTCTGAATTAGCGGGGAAGCGAGGTCTCTCCTCCTCCCGCGCGCGTTCCTTCCGCCTCTCCTCACTGTCTCCTCCCTTGCAGAACCCGTCGCAGCTCGCCTCGCACGGCTCCGGCTTCTGCCCGCGCTTCCGGCAGGAGCAGACGCCGCTGCTGGCGGCCGACGGCGCCAAGAGCGAGCTGCAGCTGCTGGTGGAGAACCTGCCGGTGCCGCGCGTGGGCCAGCTCGGCTTCCAGTGCGTGGTGAGCATCGAGGGCGCCACCATGCTGGTGGGCGCGCGCGTCGTGGTGGAGGACGAGGACGAGCCGGAGGGCGGCAGCAGCAGCCCCGCCACCACCACCAGCAGCGCCAGCCGCCCGCACCACCGCCGCGTGCAGCGCGTGGTGTGCGAGCCCACGGTGTACCGCTACGAGTCGGGCGAGGGCGAGTACGAGGCCCGCGTCACGCTGGTGTGGAACCGCGACCACGTGGTAGACGCGCGCCCGCTCACGCTCTACAAGTGCGGCGTGCTGGGCGCCCACCGCGGCCACCACGACTGCTCGCTCTGCGTCACGCGCCACCCGCGCTACCGCTGCACCTGGTGCGGCGCCGCCTGCAGGTACGCGCCGCACTGCCCCTCGCTCCCGGGCGTGGCCGCGGCCGCCACGTCCGCGGTGGCGCCCCTGCCCACGGGCGCCCACCACCAGGAGGCCCCGGCGACGGCGAGCGACGCCCGCCTGGCGCAGTGCCCCACCGCCAGGATCGATGTGGTGAGTCGCCCTCCGCCTTTGTCTAGGCTTTCTATATTATTATAATTGCCATTCTCCTCTTTGTCCGCCCGCCCGCGCCCGCCCGAAATACCCGGCGCGGGAGAAAGGCCGCCCCAAAACTCCCGGCGAGCAGAAAGCCTACGCGGGCGGCGCTTTCACGACGCCCATCTCAATATTGCCTCTTTCCGACGTCGTCCCCGCCGGCGGAAATAGCCCCACTCCCGCTGATTATGGCGCGGGGGGGGGGGGGAGCGTTGTGCTCCCTTGCTCACTCGCGCCGTTTCTCTATCTCTCTTTCTCTATCTTTCTATCTGTTTCGCTTTCTCTCTCTCTCTCTCTCCATGTTCTTGGTCTCCATCACTCTACTTTTCCTTCTCCTTCTTCCTTCTTCTTCTTCTTCTCCTTCTCTTCTTCCTCCTTCCTTCTCTTCTTCTTCTTCTTCTTCTTCTTCTCTCCTCCTCCTCCTCCCTCCTCCCTCCTCCTCTCCTCCTCCTCCTCTCCATCCACCTCATCTGTCTCCCTCTTTCCCCACCTCCAAACTGGATAAAGCTAAATAAAAACAAACAAACACATCACTCATAGTCTATGCCCCCCTCTCCACCCCCTACTCCCACCTCCCCACCCCCTCTAACCCACCGTTTACTTCCCCACTATTCACTCTCAATTCCCTACACCCTCCCCTTACTCTCCCCTCCCTACCCCACTTTACTTCCCCTCCCCTACTTCCCCAACACCCTACTCCCCACTCCCTCAAACCCCCTCACTCCCTTCCCCCTCCCTTACTCCCCCTCCCTACCCCCTACTCCCCCTCCCTCCTCACTCCCCACTCCCCTCCCTCACCCCCCCACTCTTTCTTCCCCACTCCCACTCCCCTCCCACCCCCTCCCACCAACTAATCCGGATTAGATGGCCCCCCCCCGGGTTTAGATGGAGTTGCAAGTAATCGCTTAGTGCCATATGGCATCCTTGGCTCCCGGAGGTTCTCGTGCCGTGGCATTATGCCCGTGGATATTTTTTTTTTTTTTTTTTTTTTTTTGGGAGGGGGGGTGGGGGGGGGATCTTGATAATGGGGGGGTGGATTGATTGGTTGGATGGGTGGGTGGGGAGAAGTGGAGGGGTGGAGGGTGGGAAGGTGGGAGGGAGGGTGGGGTGGGAAAGGTGGGAGGGAGGGTGGGTGGAGGAAGGGAGGAAGGATGGATGGTGGGTGGAGGGAAGAATGAGGGATGGATAGGTGGGTGAAGGGAAGGAATGAGGGAGGTGGGTGGGTGGATAAATGGATGGGGGGGGGGGGAGGAAAGGAGGGATGGATAGCTATCTGATCGATTTAATGTAATATTATATATACATATAATACATATACATATACATATACATATAATATATATATATATATATATATATATATATATATATATATATATATATATATATATATATATATATATACACATACATACATATTCCTTCCTCTCCTCCTCTCCCTTCGCCCCCCCCCTCCCCGCCCACCTCCTTCGTCCTTCCTTCGTCGCTAAGTCGTCCTTCGAGGTCAGTGGTTGGTCAAGTGATTACTTTCTCATCTCCTCTTTTTTCTGTTCTCTTCTCGTCTCTCTTTCTCTTCCTTTTCTTCTGTCTTCTGTCTGTTTCCTGTACTTTTTGCTCTGTTCTTCTCTCTTTCTCTTCCTTTTCTTGTTTTTTTTTCTGTTTTGGTCTGTTTTTTTTTCTTTCTTTCTTCCTCTTCTCTTTTTTGTTAATAATTTTCTGTATTTCTTCACTATATCTATTTTCTTCATCTCATCCTCTCTCTCTCTCTCTCTCTCTCTCTCTCTCCCTCCTCCTCCTCCTCTCCCTCTCCCTCTCTCCCTCCCTCCCTCCCTCCTCCTCCCTCCCTCCTCCCTCCTCCCTCCCTCCCTCCCTCCTCCCTCCCTCCCCTCCCTCCCTCCCTTCCCTCTCCCCATTCCTTCCCTCCCTCCCTCCTTCTCCATTTTCTCCCATCCATCACCATCATCACAATTTCCTCTCTGTCCAACACGTCCTCGGAGAGAAGGCGGACACATGATAATTATATCGATAAGCTGATGACGTGAAGCCTGAGTAAGTCTGGATAATAGGAAGGAGGGGGGGGGTGAGGGAGGAGGAGGGGGGGTGAGGGAGGGGGGGGGAGGGTGAGGGGGGGAGAGGGGGGTGAGGGGTGAGGAGGAGGGAGGGAGGGAGAGGGGGTGAGGGAGGAGGGGGTGAGGGGGGTGAGGGTGGGGGTTAGAGGGAGGAGGGGGGGTGAGGGGTGAGGAGGAGGGATGTGAGGGTGGAGGGGGGGAGAAGAGGGATGAGAGGAAGGAGGGTGGGGAGAGGAGGGGAAGAGGGAGGGCGAGAGAGGAGGGGGGGAGGAGGAGGTGATAGTAAGCCAACTGTTGTTGCCGAGATGGGAGGATAAGGGGGAGTAAGGGAGGGATGGGGAGAGGGAGGAGAGAGTGGGAGGTAAGTGAGGGGATAGGGAGAGGGAGAGTAGAGGGGGGGAAGTAAGAAGGGAAGGGGGGATGGGAAAGGGAGAGAAAGAGAGTAAAGGGGAAATGAGGGAGGGAGGAGGTAAGATTGGAAGGGAGGAATCACCAACCCACACCCCACCCCCACCACCCGCTGTCATCCTCACCTCACAGTCCACCCCCCCTCATCACCCCATACCCCCCCCCCCCCCCCGCCGCACAAACGCGCAACAGCCTAATCTTGTATTATATTATGAAGCGAAAAATTCTTACTTGAAAAGGCGACTCGTCAATATGCATGTCGCGAATTTAAGTGTCCGCGAATTTTATAGCGATGCTGGTAGACGGACCTCCCCCCCTCCCCCTCCCCGCTTCCCACTTTTCCCCCACTTTTCTTCTTCCTCCCCCTTTCCCCTCTTCTTCCTCTTTCCTTCCTTCCTCCCCCTCCCCCTCTTCCCCTCTTCCTTCCTTCCTCCCCTTTCCCCTCTTCTCCTCTTCCTTCCTTCCTCCCCCTCCCCTCTTCCCCCTCTTCCTTCCTTCCTCCCCTTTCCCCTTCCCCCATTTCTTCCATCCTCCCCCTCCTCTTCCTTCCTTCCTCCCCTTTCTCCTTCCCACTTTCTTTCCTTCCTCCCCCTTCCCTCTTCTCCTCTTCCTCCCTCCCCCTCCCTTCCCCTCTTTCCTTCCATCCTCCCCCTTTCCCTTCTTCTCCTTCCTTCCTTCCTTACCCCACTCTCCCCCCACCTCCCTTCCATCGTCTTTCTCTCTTTTTTCTCTCCCTTTTCTCTATTTCTTTCTCTTTCTCTTTCCTCTCGGCGCTTCTTTCCCTCATTATTATTATTATCATTTATATTATCAATTATATTATCATTATCATATTATATTTAATTATTATTATTATTATTATTATTATATTATTATTATTAATCATTTGGCAACGTTGAATATCTTAGTTGTTGTTAGTGGCTGTTTGGTTATTGAAGGTTGTTAGGTTGTTTTGTTGTTAGGAAATTGAACGTAGATGTTGTTAGGTGGTTGCTTGATTGTTGAAGTGGGTTGTTGGTTGTTGGTTGTTTGAAGTGGGTGTTGGGTTGTTGAAGTGGTTGTTGTGTAGTGGTTATAGTTAGGTTATTAAAAATTGTGATGATTAAACCCAAACAACTGGAAACTCCCCCGATTTTTGTTTGGTGGGGGTGGGGGTATCATCATTATCGTCAATATCACCACCACCACCACCACCACCACCACCACACCACACCATCCACCACTACCACCACCACCATTATTATTATTATATTAATTATTTCATCATCATCATCATCACCTGCATCGCCCATCGTCATCATCATCATCTTTTTGTAAT